TTTTTTTTTTTTTGAGGGCAGAGGAGAGTTTTGGCACCCGGAAGTACCTTTTAATTGTTGCAGGGTAGTGAAAAATAGCACCGACTTTTAAATCTTCCCCCGCGAGCAGACGTCCAGAAACTCAAGCCTTTGGTGGAAGATACAGAGGATGAAATGGCAGGTGTTGGTATGGAGTGGAGAGGGAGGTTCCTTCTGGGCTGGCCACAGATTGTGAGGTCTCTAAGTGCTCAGAGGAAGGCAGCACGCTAAATGCCATTCGCCTGGTAGTGAGCCGGCTTCCCTAGCTTTGTCTGGAGATTAATTTAAACCCGGCTGCTTTCTGGCAGTGGAAAAGCGCATGCCGGAACAGACTTTGCAAATGCCTTGGATAAAGGGCATTGCGGTGGAACAAAGATCGGCCCAGGGCCCAGCAGCATCTATCTCCCCTTCTGGTGGATTCTTCTTTTCCAAACACAACAGGTGTGGGAACCCCAAGTTTCATTTGAAAAAAAAGGGGGGGCATTCTCTTCCTTGCCCTGCAAAATCAAATGGGCTAGCCCATTTGAAGTATGCATTGCATACTGAAGAGAGCGAAGTATGCATTGCAATTCACCTGCAGTGAAAACTACCAGGACAGGGCCCTTCTCCTAGAGAAAGGAGGTCCCCCTGCTTCAGGGAATTTATGCCCATCCTCCACCAAGGTAAACCCCACAAGAAGATTCCCCAGTTCCCTGGGTTCCAGCGGGTCTTTCTATGTTGGAAACAATCTAGAAATTAATTCCCCTTGACTTATGGTGACTTATGATAGGAGTCTCCAGAAACCATGAAAGTGGAGCAGGGCCAGGGTTGACTTAAACTGGGAAGTTTCTATTTCTCGGCATCCACATGTGTTTGTATACACACACCCAATAAGAAACCTGAATTTTTACTTTACAATGTGTGAATACAATATAGCTTGGAGCTCTTGCAGTGAGGCCCATTTATGTGGCCATATTGTGTTTAATGTGGGAGCAGCGCCCGCCGCCACCCCTGACGTGTGGTTCACAAGCATCTCCTCAGAACCACAGCGGAGAACTTCAGACCTTGGATACCCGGCCCCAGATGCTGGAGAGAGTAAGAGCGCCCCCCATCCCCCAATGGCTGCTCCTTCCTGGTTGCCCACAAGCTTGAAGTTCTGCCAGGAAGAGTCCCACATGACAATCATCCCTGAGGGACATCGGAGTCCTTTTCCTTGGGCCAGTTTCCTACGGTAGGAAGAACATGGGGAGGAGGAAAGAGCTGCCTCTAGGAAGGAGACATCCCATAAGTTATTTCCGTCTGTCAGGGGGCTTTCTCAAAACACTGCCTTACACGGTGCTTTTCAAAATGAACTTCCTTTCCTCTTTCTCTTGTTTCTTCAGAAAGATGACCTTTTCAGGCTCCATTTCTTTCTCTTCTCCCTCTGGGGACTGCTGAAGAGAGCACCATCCAGCTCCCACCCAGAAGGTGGACTTGGTAATCTTCAAATCTAGTGGAAAACATTGAGCTATCCGGTTGCTTCTTGACCTGAGAATAGAAAGGAAATTGGCTCCCAGGAGTCCATAAACCTGTCCGGAAAGCCTGACTGCCTCCACAATCGTAATGCTTACCTCCTTCTCCTATTCCCCTCCTCAAAATGATTTCTAGAGAGGACAACACCAGGCCACAGAGACTGACTTTTTACATCCCAAGAGGCTGCCAACACCTCACAAGGCCCACAGGCAGGGTTACTTAGGGCACCACAGTGGGGGCAATAGCAAAACTGGGGCACTAAAATGCCAACGTTTTGGGAAAACAGCTTAATATGTGACGTAAAAATAACAGCATAAATCACAATCAAGGGGGGAAACCAGAACTTTACTGGGCTCCCTTTTCACTTATTTTACAGTTTGGGATGTCTTTTACTTTGACTCGAAGATGTGAGAAGGCACCAGAATCTCTTGGTTGCTCCAGATCTCTAAAACTCGTATTCAGGCCATAGGCAGAGCCTAAGAAAGACCCCTGAGATGCCCGAGAGCCTTTTGGATTCTGTTGGGAGAAGAGGCTGAGGGCCAGCTCTGGGCAGAACCAGTGTTCCGATGCACAGCAGCCTCATTTTACTGAACAGCTTCCACTGGCAAGGAAAAGGCTTTCTGGGACCATTGTCCTCAGAGGGAAGCAGGGAAGAGTGTGTAGAAACAATAGTTCCTGCAAGCTCCTGACCCAGGTTGGGTCCTGATACCCCAAGCTGTCACTGCAGTGAATGGAATGGGCATAAAGCTAATACAATGTCCTAAGACAGATTTGCCTGGGAAGTGCCATGAGACATGGAGGAGGGAACTGTGGGGGGAGAGAAGAAAGAATGGTCTAATCAGAGGCGTCTTAAGCAGCCCTGACCCTCAAGTCAGAATGATTTAGAGTTTTTATTGAGAGAACAGATGGAAGATGAGAGCATTTCCTGATGCAGAATGGCACTTCTTGGGCACTCATATGCTGCACAATATAGCATTATATCAATCTTCTTATAGCTCGAGATATAAATAAAATGAAGACGGTATTCAAACCCTTCTATTTGCCAGCAACCTCCCTTGGGTTGCTAACACTGAGGAGAAAACAGTAGGAGAACGGAGGCTATAAGAAAAATCGAGAGCTACTAAGGTGACCCGATTGCTACTATTTATTTAATGGAACAGTCATTATTTTCTTTCTTCAACATATGTGTCTGATAATGAAGCAAAAAGAAAGGAAAATAACTATCAATGTGCCACTTCAGAAACACACAAACATTTGCTAGCTTTTTCATTTTATTGATGTTCTTTTAATATATGTATTTATGATTAAACTAGTGCTCAAAGACTAACAGCACAGATAGCAATTCCGGATTAGAGTTTTTTTTTTTTTTTTTTTTTTTTTTTTTTT